TTTTTTTTTTTTTTATTTTATTGTCTCTGATGGAAACATCGTGCCTTGATCGTGGACAATTCTAGTATCGATGAAACGCACGAAATTGATAATGTTAGAATTGTTACTCGTGAGACGTAGGATTTTAATTTTAACAGATAAGCAGGAAATTATTTCTGCATTTTCATACGTCGTAGCTAAACTATGGATTTTCATGCGAATTTATTAGTGAGAAACAAGCAGAAAATTGTTCCTGCATTTTCGCTTTTTCTGCGAGTGACAAAAATTCGCAGCAACGATTTCTACTAAAATTAAGATCTAATTGGATCCAATTTGCATTTCTAATGATCATTCTGAACAATGCAAGTATCGTACTAACTTCTACATTTAACATTTCCAGATTGAGATCTCCAACCAACACGATCCTGACGCTCGTAGGTCGAAACAGTGCCAATAAAGTTTCTTACGACACTCGCGATGTATATATATATATATATATATATACATAGCGTAAACGTAGTAATATTTTCACAAGTCACGAGTGTGCGTGGGTGCTGGTTGGCAGCGTGAGGTAAATGGGGAATGAAAAGAGGGCCGAATTCGCGTGATCGCTAATTGTGAATGTGGCGAGCTTGTGGGGGGTGTGGGAGGGCGACGGCGAGTTCAGCGTGCGACCTTCCTCTTGTGCTCGGGTATTCCAGATTTTCTACTCATTGTCAGAAGTAAAGACCCCTCGACACTTGTTGCTCTCGCCATCGACATTTCCTGCGCGCCCCGCCGTTATATACGCGCGTGCATTTCGCTTTCGTGGTTGCATTCTTTGTCAAGTTACACGTGTAGTAGACGCCAACTACCGTCGCAAACACGCATACACAGAGAACGTGTGCGTCGTTTCATAATGCGCCCGCGACCGGTATTGCGTTTCCCTTTACTTCCTTCGTCGTTGACGACGCGATACGCCAGGTATCCATTACTGTCGGCCATGTTGTACACGGGCTGTCTAATTGAAACGCCGATGATCCCGTGAAAAAAGGAAAAAGAAAAGGAAACGCAGA